AATCCTTGTTTTTTCCTTATTGGCTTGACAAAGAGGCATTGACTCGAAACGTGTAGCCGCCTGACGCTTCCTTCCACCCAGCAAGATGGACCCTACAGCCATCCAGTTTCGTGTTTGCTCCCCCATGAACTTCCATCGCCCATTGACAGCGCAGCAACCGCAGCAGAGCGGCATCCCTGACGTTCTTCACGCACAGCCGCCAGGGCTCGGCCTGGCCAGCTGAGTCTTGACAGCACTCGACAGTTACACCCAGTGCTTAGTATGTTCTCAGCCGCGGCCGCCTCACGCTGCCCCCAGCCAATGGCTTCTCTCCTGGTGCCTAGTTTTCAGAGCAGATCTCCCCCATCTGCCGGTGTGGCATATTCCCAGTAGTAGTTTCCCTTTCTTATCCTTAATTTCCATTTCTATCCATAGTAAGCATTATCCCCATTTTCCTGTGCTATATCATCTCTTACATTCACTGTCAAGTCATTCTTGACATACAGGCATACTCCTCCCCCCTTTTTTCCTTCTCTATTCCTTCTAAAGAAAGAATATCCATAGATAGTTGCTGCCCAGTCGTGTGATCCATCCAGCCAGGTTTCTGTTATTCCCACTAGGTCATATTCCTTTCCGAGTAGCTATAGTTCTAGTTCTTCCATTTTGTTTGCAAGGCTTCTAGCATTGGTGAACATGCATTTCAAGTTTTCACTTGTGTTAACTGTTTTTCTGCTGCCTATAATCTGTCTACTACTGCATGCTTCCATATTTTGTAGAGGTGAACCGAAATGAAAAATTTAAAACCAAAATGAAAATAAATGTCGGGCCGAAAATGTTTTTTTTCTAAATGTTTCAATTAAACAGACCCCTGCTATTTCCCTTTTAAAATAGAAAAAGAGATTGAGAACAAAGTCCTCAATCTCTTTTTCTGCAGCCCCTGTTATAAATGAACAGGCATCCTCTGTTCATTTATAACATGTGGAAATAGTGTGTTTACTATAACCACAATCATGAATGAACAGGAGGTGATGTAGATCACTTCCCATCCATAATTTAGGATATAGTAAACATACTCTGTCCTGAAATATGTACAAATCACTGATCGCTGAGTGTTTGTACCTCGCTCTCCATCCTGACACCTGTCACAGGAGGCTGAGCGAGCGGTGCGGCAGGAGAGCTCAGACATGATCTGTGACAGGAGGCTGAGCGATGCAGGGAGGAGAGACACCTGCCACTCACAGCGCTCTCCACCTGCAGCTTTTGGCCACCTGTGACAGTTTCTCTCCTCCCCGCTGGGACACAGAGCAGCGAGGAGGAAAGAAAGCACGGATGCACCACTATATCGGCAGAAAAATTGCACTTTCGGCATTTAGCCAAGCGTGCCATTTTCGGTCGATATGTTTCGGTGCCCGATATATCGGTGCATCCCTAATATTTTGTGTATTTTTTCGGATTTTAGAATCCCTCGTTTCTGTTGAGGTCACCTCACTCCTGAATGTTTTTAGGTTATTACCTGACTCAGTCCTTCCTTTCTACAACCTTTTTGCCATTTTTCCCTCCTCATTTAGGTGCAGTCCATCCCTGCTGTAGAGCTCGGTAGCTGACCGAGAAGTCAGCCCAGCTTTCCAAAAACCCAAACCCCTCCTTTCTACACAAGCTTTGCAGCCACTTGTTCAGCTCTCTAAGTTCTCGCTGCCTCTCTGATGTGGCTCGTGGTACAGGAAGTATTTTTAAAAATACCACTTTGGAGGTCCTTTTCCTAAGTGTCTCACCTAAGTCGTTGAAATCCTTCTTTAGGACACTCCATCTTCCCCTGACTTTGTCAATGGTACCAATACGTACCATGACAGCTGGGTCTTCCCCAGCCCCACCAAATCTGTCCATCTGATCCGCAATATGCCGAACTCGAGCGCACGGTAGACAACATTCTGTTCGGCAATCACGTTCTTTGTGACAGATGACCCTGTCTGTTCGCCTAATAATAGAATCCCCTACCATCAGGATCTGTCTGTCTTTGCTTAAGCCCCTGCAACCCTCTATACCAGAGCAGTCACTCCCCTGGCTGCTAAGGGAGTTATTCTGCTCCAGCAGTGCTACCCCTGAACTGATATCCCTAATATCATGCAAATAGGCATGTTTTTTGGGGTAAAACAATTCAGGGCTGTCAAGTACCTTGGTAGGTGATGAGCCTGAATTGACGAGGAAGGCCTTCCCTTGCTGCTCTCGTCTGAGCCCCACTGGAGTTGGAACAGTAGTTATACAGACAGAGAGGGGCACGAGTGCCTGTGGTTGGTATGACTGCTGAACAAATGGCTGCACCCAATTTAATCTTTTGCCCCATGTGCTCCAAGATGGAGACTCGCATAGTTTAGAGTTAAGACCGCACTATATGTAGGTGCCTTGACGTGGCTGTGCGGCTTTCACATTTTCTGCAGCAGACGTGTTTCTAAACCTCTGCTTTTAACCTTAGTGGTTAGACGGGTTTTTTTTCATGCTGGCTGGTGAGTGTGCCTGGAAACCTTTTGCTGGTATGACTGCTGGACACACTGGATGTGCTGATGCTGACAACAGGACGCCAGAGACAGCTGGTAGGAGATGGCAGAACAGACGACACTTGTGTGAGAGGCTGAAGCGTAGTCAGGAACAAGCCAGATCGGTAACATGCGGACAGCGTGGTACCGGATCAGGAGGCAGGAGAATGGTCAGGGACGAGTCGAGGTCACAAGGCAGGCAGCCAGCAGGCAAAGTCAAGAATCGAGTTGGGTCAAACCGGTATCCGGAGCAGAAACACAGATGCAGGTTAAAGCTGAAGATCTCTCAGCAAAGTGCAGATGTAGGAGCCATCTTTAAATAGCCCGCCTGGCGCCAAGGACATGTGTGTGCACGTTGTTGTGCACGTTTTCGCTCATGTGCAGTACTAGCGGCAGCGCGCCGAATCCGCGCATGCGCATATAGTGCAGCGGTCAAGGCAGAAGCTGCACTATGGTTGTTGACTGATGCACCCTGACAACCACCCTCCTCTAAGATGGCCCCTGCCAGCACCTGTACCGTCAGGTTCAAACTCTTCTCCATGTTAATAATGCTCCTCAGTGTTGCCAGTTTTTACACTAGGCTTATTCACACATCTTGTCTGCCATTTATCACTGACACTTGATCTTACATGAGTTACATGGGTCATAACTAGAGGTGCACCGAAATGGAAATTTTAAAACCAAAACAAAACGGAAATTAAAAAAATTGTCAGGCCGAAACCGATACCGAAAATGTTTTTTATTTTAATTTTTTCAAATATTTTATTTTTATTTATTTTTTCATAAACGTTTTAATTTTTTATATTTATTTTTATTAATTAATTTTTTATTAAATATTTTTATTTTACTTTTAGGGGCTTCGGGGAAATATCAGGGGTCTTAACAGACCCCTGATATTTCCCTTTTAAAATAGAAAAAGAGATAGAGGACACAAAGTCTCTTTTTTTTATCTCTTTTTTTTGTATCTCCTGTTATAAATGAACAGGAATTATCTATGAGTGTTCCTGTTCATTCATAACATGAGGACATGGTATGTTTACTATAACTACAACTATGAATGAACAGGAGGTGATGAACACTCCCATTCATTCATAATTGAGGATACAGCAAAACCAATCTATTTCACTTATTCCTAGTGTGGATACTTTTATATTTTAAATGTAGAGGTTATCTGTAGTTACACACATAAATGAAATCTGCCACCAACTAAGTTTGATGGATTATATGGTGGAATATGTAAATGTACACATCTACATGAGGTAGATCATGTATATTAATAAAGTAGGCAGAATGGTCTGTAGCCCAGATTACCTTAACAGAACATGCTTGTACATGATAGACGGATGTCAGCAGCACACCAATAGTGTTGAAGTACAAAGTGTTTGTTTATTGGAACATCGTGTCACCAGAACTAGCGCTTTCGGGGCCACGCAGGGTCCCCTTCATCAGGCTCAGCAAGGACCCTGCGTGGCCCCGAAAGCGCTAGTTCTGGGGACATGATGTTCCAATAAACGAACACTTTGGACTTCAACACTATTGGTGTGCTGGTGACAGTCGTTTATTTTGTACTGTTTGGCGGCGCCATCCGTGGTCACTGCGAGCACCCCCCTTATTTAATTTGGGGCTTTCCAGTAAGGAGTGCGGCATGGTATTTCTACGTTTGTTCCATGCTTGTAGATGAACCCCAATTTGAATGTTGAATTGGATGAATCTTTTTGTTTGTAAATTGTTTGAATTGGGCCTACATCTGATTCTTCACAAAAATGTTTGGCTGAGTTTTAAAAGATCAAAAAATTATTGTAGATTGAAGAATATTTCTTTAAAAAATATACATACAATGGTGTCAGACAATAACAAAACCAAAGCTTTAAAGAAAATGTGTATCCATAGTGTAAACAATAGTTCAATTGCCCTGAGATGAAAAATAGATTTGCATAGCTTAGTTTTTCTCCAAGGAATTAGTTTATGGTTGGTGACCACACAATAGAGAGAGACACTGCATGCATTATGTTTTTTTTTTTTTTTTACTTATTTATTCACAATTCACATTAAAAAATAGCATTGTCACTTCAGGCACAAAAACTCCTTCAACTGTAAATATATGTATGTATTCAATGGAATGTACAGAAGAAATGCAGGTATATATTACGTTTATATAATGTTCTGGTTTACAATACTTTAAAGAAGAACTCCACGAATTTTTTTTATCATCCCTTGCAGTGGGGCTACCACCGTACTGCAAGGGTTAACTGCTCGTTTGTGTCTAGGTTAAAAATAAACAAAGATATACTCACCCAAAACACGGAGCTGGCTTCTTCTTTGGCCAGTCCCTGGAATGGAGCGCTGTGACAGCTAGCTGGTCAGAGCTCCGGGTGAGTATATACTTTTTTTTTTAGCACCTAGACACAAACAAGCACTTAACCCTCGCAGTGCGGGGGTAGCCCCATTGCAAGTGTTAATGTAAAAAATCATGGAGTTCTTCTTTAAACTATACAGAACAAGACTTTTTCTTTCTAACTTAAATTGTTTGCATGATCCCTTGGTTCACAGCTTGGTGTCTTTGTCAGCCTTATTTTAACAAAGTGAATCAGTGCAACTAATGGAATACACATGGATGGTATGGCTACCAACAACACACAGATGGCTACAGTCCAACCTGGATAACCTTCTACCTTCTTCATAGGGAATTCCTCCTGTATGTGAATAAAACATAGGATGTCATAAGTTTTCTACCCATATAACCATTGAAATACATAAATAGATTCTACCAAGCAAATTATTTTTTTTATGACATGGAGTGATATTTTAGGGTTTTCTAAGCATTTTTGAGTTTGATATTGGGGCCCTATTTATGTTTTAGGTTATTTGAACAGATTTGAGAATAAGGGTTTCACCCGTAAGGTACACCCAATGATTGCCAATCACAATAAATATTAATCAGCATGCTTTTTTTATGTGGCCTTGCAAACCTAAATGTCTCTAGTCATTTGTGTGATCTGGTTATCAGCCCAGGATGTAGGTGATGGATGTGGCCAACAGTTTAGGGAGTAGGGTTTGGTTTATGTCTTTTATTCCATGGAGTGAAGGAAGGTGGGTGTCGGTCATTTGTTGTATACATTGGTCACTTGAGGCCAGGGAGATTGTAGGCATACATACAGCTGTTGCCTTTAGGCTTGAAGTATAGTGTAGGCTTCTGATTTTAGATCTAGGTATAGGGGGAAGGCAGTGTTGACTTATGACTGTGAGGAAAGGGATTGTGGCATGTAATGTGGCCAAGTTGAAGTGCAGGCTAGTAAGTTTTGGTCTATGGAGGAACCATGTAGGTTAAGTAGTGTGGGCTGATGACGTTAGGATATGGAAGGTGTAGTTTTGTCTGCTGACTACAGGTCAGAGGCAGGAGGGAGGGCTAATGAGGGCTGCATTCAGGGGCGTATCTGCCGCGAGGCAAACAAGGCGTTTGCCTGGAGCGGCAGATTCGCGGAGGGCGGCGATGCTGCCTTGCCTAGGGCAGCAGCAAAGGTAAATACACCGCTGGCTGCATTGCCAACTTAGGTTGTATATTGTTTCATTTCCTTTTTGGAAATAATGTGGCTTGAAGACAATGCTCCAAACTCCGGCCATTTTAAGAACCCTTCTGCATTTAATGTAATGAAACAGCGATGTTGCAAGCAGGGTAGGGTGAAGGGGCTGCTGAGAGCGGTCTGAAAACTCTATATATTTAACACAACACTAAGCTCAGTAGTTAAACCTTAAAAATGCATTCAAGTTCCTTAACTATTAACAAACATGTAAATGATTTGTGTATCACTCAGCTGTAGATCCTCAAATCATCTCTGAATTATTGCTGACACTGTCCTTCCTTCTGGAGGGTGGCTACTTTTGTTCCCCATGGTCCCTGTGTGTGTTGTTATGTAGCTACCACTCCAAACTCATTCCTGTCATGGACTCCAATCCCAATACAAATTAGTAAACTAAACCTGAGATTGTAGTCTATCACGGAGTGAGCTTCGAGCAGTGGCTATTTAAAAGATACTGTAGCTTTGAATATAGGCAGACATCAGGCATCTGTGAAATGCACATGCTAGCTGCTTTTGTGACTTTTGATAAGGCATATTAAGCAATGTGTAAGATAAAATAAGATACTCTTATTAAAAAAGTGATAAACCAAATTAGTGCACATTAAGGGGCATATAT